CTAGACCTGGGGTCTGTGCGGAGGGCAGGGCACGGCGGCGAGGCGTGGGCAGAGGCTGTGTTCGTGCCCCTGTGCCCGGCTCCAGCCCCCCTCGCCGCGGGGCAGCTCTCCGGTGCCCAGCAGCCGCCGTGCGTTGCCCCCTCCCCTGCCTTCCCTAGGGAGGTCGTCTTCATGTTTCCACCTGAAGCCAGGAAACCGTCCGCTTCCCCACCAGCACCCTGGCCAAGCATCGCCCCACGTTCCTTGAGAGGGTGGGCCGTGGTGATGTCCTTTTCCTAACTCCTTAAAGGAAGGAAAAACCATTCCTCTGATTGTTCGTTACCTTTTTGGGGGGTGGAGGAATGATTTATGATTTAATAACTGAGCAGTGATTCATCAAATAACTCAGGCATCAATTTATTATGAAGAAATTTCCTGAGGAGGATAGAATCGCAGCTCCAGACGCAGCGCTTATGGCTGAAGCGCTTTATGAGGCGATTTGGGGCGACTGGGCTGTGCTCTCGATGATTTGTTTGCTCTGTTTATCGGCGAGGTGGGGCTGCGGCGTTACCAGGGGCTGTGTGGTGAAGAAACGAGCTGAGGACTAATCATCAGCGCTCCTGAACGCGGGGAGGGTTCGGGGGGGGCAGCGCCGGGATGAAAGCAGCCCTGGGGCCTCTGGTCTGGACCCAGCGGTTTGGCAGAGTTAAATATAAGCTGGGAAGGAGAAGAGTGGAGGAAACCAACTAAATGGCGGCCGCAGGGTCTGGAGCGTGGGGTAAGTCCTTGGTGTGCGGCTCCAAGGCTGGCAGGGAGGCAGGGGCTGAGGTGCCCCTGGCCGTCCCTCGGAGCGGTCCGTCAGCCCGGCGTGCGTGGAGGCAATGCCCAGGTGCCCGCGCGCCCACCCTCCCCGGCCCCACTCCGGCCCTGGAAACCCTGCTCCGAGTAATGAAATCGGTGCTGGGAGAGGGGTCCTGGCTCCCCCCCGCTTTCCATTTGCAGAAGCAGAGCACCACATTTCTAAGCTGTGCGTTGCTTCTCTGCCTGAGTGTATCTCAGGGGAATTAAGGGCACAGGCAATTTTTTTTTCCCTCACCTAAATTGTATATTTTAATTATCACTCTTTCTAATGCATGTTTGTTTAGTTAAATCAATGGCGTCCAGTGCTTAAATGCCTGCTCTAAAAACAGTATTTTGACTCTAAAAGAGCCTTCAGCTTTTGGTTGCTCTTCTGTCAGGAAAAAAAAAAAAAAGACCGGAGTCATCCCATCATCCCAAAGGAATAAAGGCGAGTCCGAGCGCAGACACGCTGCCGTTCGTCCTGGCTCCCAGAGTAACTCATCAAAATGGGCCCTTGCGTCACCTGCGCGTCTCTGCCAAAGCTCCTGGACTGAACTGAAGGGTCACGGGAGAAGCTGCTGATGCCAACACCCACGGTGTAGAACCAGCAGACAACGGCTGGTGTTGCGCTGTTCGCCCACCCGCACCGTCTGCCCTCCGCTCCCCGACTCCCTGCCGCGCCCCCCGGCTCGAGAAGAAGCAGCGATTCCCGCACGGTGCGTGCAGCCAAACCGACCCACGGAGCAACAGAAGGAGAGCGAGCTGCCAAGTGCCATCCCGCCGGGGCAGGGGGTCCCTGGCCCTCGCTGGTGCTGCAGGAGCCCCTGCAGGGATTTGTCTGCGGGAAGGAGAAAACCCCGCACCCCGCGTGTCTCCTGCTCCCCTCTCCGCGTGTTTTTGTTTCGTGTAAGAAGAACCAGACCTGAAGAGGGGCGCGACGTAGTTGCTGGGGAAGATGCCGGCCCTCCCGGTGACGAGGGACATGCCCCGCAGCCAGCCATCGTGGTCCTTCCCGAAGACGCGGACTCCTTCTCCCTTCTGCAGCTCCAGCTCGTCGGGTCCGTGAGCCACGTAGGGATGGAGAGCCACGCACCTGGGGGGACAGGGGGTGAGAGGCACCAGCTGCCACGGGCGGGAGGGCTGGGAGCGTCCCGAAGCCCCTCGCTCCGACCGTCCTGCGGAGCTGATGCCGCCGGCGCTGGGGTGGGCGAGCGGCGGCTGCTTGCCCGAAGCCTCCTCAGCCAGCGCGCGCAGCAGATAGTTGGGTGCTGCCGTTACCGCGGAGAGAGCTCACAGGGAAGAAACTGCCTGCAACTTCAGGCCAAAGGGGATATGAATAAAAGAAGAGCCAACAGGAACGGAGAACAAAGCAGACCTCGCCAATGTTTTCTGTCCCAGAAGTGCCAGCCAAGCCACCCAAGGGCAACAAGCATTAGGGAGGAGAAAGCTGCTGTTCTCCCCTCCGGCAGCGAGTGCTCCATTGAAGCCACCGACTAAGGGCTAACGCGTCCCCGTCCCGCGGCCGAGCAGCATGAGAGCACAGGCACGATGCTCAGTCCGAGGGACAGCATCAAGAATGCCTTCTGCCTTTGAAGTGCTGGTGAGCCAGCGGCCTCGCACCTGCTTGCCTGGAGCATCGTCTGGAGGTGCGGGGAGGAGCACTGCTCATACCGCAGCGCCCGTGTTAACCCGTCTTCTTCCCTTTCCTCCTCCTCCTCCTGCAACCGGGCCCCTGCAGAGGCTGACACTGGGACCTGGGTTGCTGCCCTGGGGGCCTTTGGGAATCAAGCGGAGAAAGGAGGAGGTACCTGCCTCTGCTCTGGGCTGGCGAGGACTAGCAGGTACTTTGGGATCCTCTCTAGACCTCTCTGTCGCGATTCCGGGGCCACGGCTCGGTGATGGAGCTTTGTGCTCCACAGTGAACCACGTGTGGCCACACAGCGAAACAGGAGCAAAAGAAAATGGCATGGTTTTCCAAACTTTCCCCTGTTTGTTCTTTAAGGAACTTCAGTTTGTCTCCAGTGTAGCACATCTAATTTAATTGCGTTGTTGTTGTTGTTTCTTTCAAGGGGAATGCGATCTGGTCCCAAATATTAATGAGTTACAGACTAATACAGTAATTATCAATATTATTTAAAAAATGGAAACGACAGACTAGTTGTCTGGATAGTCAAGGACTACCCCATAACTTTTAAAAAGGTTTCTCTCTCCCTGTTGTTCAGAACAATCACTTGGAAGTTTGACTTGAAGCGCCTGTCGTAAAGCGGCGTCTCCTGCTGTCACTGGCACAGAGCAGGCCGGGTTCGGCGTGCGGCCGTGCTCGTTCTGCCGCGGGTTGCCCCTGTCTACGGGATTCGTCTTGGCCAGCAGGACACGCAGGTGCTGGTTTGATTTTGTAGGGTTGCAAAAGGAGCTGTGCAAAATAGGCAGCTGATTGAACTGCAAATTATTGTAGGGTTTTGGGAGTTTTCCTGTGCTTAGGGTTAAGTGTGTGCAGTAGTCCTGGATGACCTGTGCTAGTGCGCAGAAGCAGCAAACACCAAGAGCGCAGTACAGATCTACAGACAGTGCTCGTGTTTCCATGGGTCTGGCTGGGTGTTGTGGAGGTGCTAATTACTGCGCAGACAGCTCGTCGTGATTTTGTTGTTATTGGGGAGCTTACTATGGTGTCGGGCTGATTAATCTTATCTAGAGGAAAACAAATCATCACAATAAATTATCTGCAAATTTTAACTCTGGGAAGGTTTTAAAAGATTGGATCATCCAAAACACCAGTGACCTTCACTGCTCTAAAATAAATAACTAGAGGCACTTAAGGACTAATTAGTTTTAAAAATAAAAATGTACTGTTGACAAATAGGCGGAACTATATAGATACTAAAGTAAGGCAGTAAGATGCAAGGACGGTTCACCTGCTGGAAATATAATAATCCAGCTGTGATACGAGTCTCTGCAGCCCCCTGCTTAGAGCAGCCAAGTCCATTCCTGCGTGGATCTGCGTTTGGATCCGAGCGCAGGGAGCTGTGCTCTGCTCTGCTTTCCCCCCTGGCTCGCCAGGGCCTGGGGCTGGATGGGCCCGAGGCGCGGGGACGGAAGGGTGCGCGACCCGCCGGTGTATTTCGGACTCCTTACGTACATGTAGGCTGATACGTGGTGCTGCAGATGGGGAAGGGTGACGATGGCTGCCGAGTGCCCCAGCGACCCTGGCGCAGCGTAGTAGGATGCACTGACCTGCAGGGAGAAGGACAGCAAAGAAAACAACAGGTTAACCCCAACATGGGCTTATTTTAGCCACTGGAAGAACAGCTGAAAACATTTGACAGGCTTCACCCACCCTTCAAAAAAAACAACAAAACAAACCAAAGATGTTTCAAGAGAAAGAAGAGTTTGGAGCGTCTGACAAAAGAAAAAGACCAGGCAGTAAGAGGAAGACTTGTAGTCCTTCAACACCGAGATGCTTTCCAGGGCATGGCTGGTGGAGCTTATCCCATCCGTAAACAAGGAACTTGTTGGGATGGTTAACGTGGCGTGTGAGGAGGCTCTCGGAGCAACGGTGAAACAGGAGAAACTCAGCCTAACAGCCATGACTTCCAAGAGTTAAGCAGGAGCCCTAAACCTGTAGTTGTTGCTGATCTCATATACATGCGATCCACTCAAGCGGGGAAGCACTGCTTCGCCCCTGTCCCTGTGCTCTGTGTGCTCACCCCTGTGTGCTCGGGTCTCAACAGGGCGAGCGCCTTGGATTCACCCGCTGTGCTTCGGGAAGGAAAAGGAGTTGTTTGGGCAAACAGCGCTTCAAGCCCAGACTTTGCTGGCGAGGAGGAGACTGTCGTGTCTGCCAGGTGAGGACTGGTGTCATCACTGCCGTTCCACTTATTTAGTTGCCTCCATCTGGGAGTATGGGCATTGTCTAACCCCCAGATAATACAGTCCTTGCCCCAGTGATCGTGTAATAACTATTATTAAAGCTGTTTCCCGCGTCTGTGGTGTGCCGAGGAGCCCCACAGCCCCATGCGCACCGGCAGCGCAGAGCGTGCCGGGCTGGGAGCTGCTGCCTGCCCTGCCGCAGCGCGGGCAGCGTGGGAGCGCAGGCAGAGGCGCCTGGCTCGGGCCTTTGGTTGGGCTGGCCCTTTCCCCGCAATCCTTTTGTATCTGAGGAGAGGTTCCAGCCACCGTAATGCCTCCTCTGCTCTCTCGTCGGGGTCTTCCGTGCTCCAGGGAGGAACCTCAGCCCCATTTCTGCTGTCAGGGTAATTGTGTGCCTTGAACATGCCGTGCCGGACCCGTTGCCGCAGCGGGCGAGATGACGACCCTTGGGGCTCCCTGTCCTAGTGAGGATGTGGGCAGCGTGCTGGGCTGTGCCTGTTCCCCTGTCCCCCCTCGTCTCGCAGGTTGGGTGACATCTGCCTGCTTAGGGCTTTTCTGGGGGGAGGTGTGTGCTGCCGGGTGTCCTCTGCCCGGCGTCCCGCTGAGCGTCTGGCTGTTGCCCCCGGCCCCCAGGAGTCAGAGCCGTGCACGCTGCTCCTCATCCGCTTGGCCCGTGACCTTGCTGGTGTGCCGGTCCCTGTGCTGGCAGCGCAGCAGAGCCCGGGGCCGGGGGGGGATGCGGGGGGGCAGCC